TAAAAGATAAGAAAGTTGAAAAAAAGGCCCGAAAGATTATTCATGACTGTAAAAATTTCACCAGCACTCATAATATTTTCCATGAAAAAATCAATATGAAAGAGCTAGATTATGCATTAGAAAACACTGACCTAAACAAGACTCCTGGGCCAGATGGAATCCATGGCCAAATGATATCAAACTTGGGCAAAAATGGCAAAGAAATACTTCTTGATATTTTCAATAACTCCTGGAAAACTGGAAAATTGCCTCAAGACTGGAAAACTGCAACAATAATTCCTATTAAAAAACTTGACAAATCTGCTGATGACCCAAAAAACTACCGACCTATCTCCCTCACAAGTATTTGCTGCAAATTAATGGAAAAAATTATACTCAGACGACTTACCTACCACCTTGACACAAGAAATCTCTTACCAGAAGAACAATATGGATTTAGGAAAGGACATGGGACAATAGACCAACTCTTATTTTTCACACAAAAGGTAAAAGATGCACAAAACAGAAAACCAACTAGCCACACCATAGCTGCTTTTTTAGACCTTACACAAGCTTTTGATAAAGTATGGAAAAACAAGTTGATTACAAAATTATACAAGCATTTCAAAATTGATGGAAAAGCTATCACTTGGATAAATGATTTCCTTAAAAATAGATACATCAGGGTCAAATATAATGGAACTCTGTCTAAAACCTTCAAATTGTACCAAGGATTACCACAAGGATCAGTCCTTAGCCCAACTCTCTTCACCCTATTTATTGCAGGCATAGAAGAAAAAATTTCACATAAAACCAATATTGGACTTTTCGCTGATGACATTATTCTATGGAGCAGTAACACTAACTGGAAAAAAGCTGAAAGGGATTTGAACAAGACTCTTCTCCACCTAGAAAAATTTGCTAATAAACATAAATTAGAATTTAACCCCCAAAAATCTGAAACCTGTCTTTTTACTACCGATAAGAAACTATACAAAATAAGGCCAAAAATTATTCTGAAAGAACAACAATTACAATATAATAAACATCCTAAATATCTTGGCTACACCCTGGATCCAGAAATTAACTCCAGTAATATATTTCAGGAAGAGAGTGGGGAGCCGATGCAACCACACTAAAATTAACTTACACGTCTCTAATTAGACCTATCCTGGAATATGGATATCAAATCTATGGTACAGCATCTGAAACAAATCTAAAATCACTGGAAAGAATACAATTAAGTGCAGCTAGAATTATTACAGGTCTTCGAAATACCTGCCCTAACGATATTGTACTTTACGAGGCAGACATTATGCCCTTAAAGGATAGAAGAAGCTACAATCTGCCAAAATATATAAACAAAATCAAGAGTTATGGAAACAAACACAGAACTTCCAATTACATACTTAATTGGGAATCCAACCTGAGACTCAAAAAAGAAGGTCCTCTCCACCTGGCCAAAAGAAATGGATTTTTAAAATATAAAGTAGAAAAAAATTATTTAGCAGAAAAAATTTCTCCATGCGAACCACTACAAAATGTTATTTTTAATGACACTTTAAATGAACCCACCAACAAACAATACCAAAATCCAGAATACTTAAAACAATTATCATTAGAAATAATTAATAACATTCCTAAAAATGCAATAACTATTTATACCGATGGTAGCAGAGATGAGTTGGGACACACTGGCAGTGGCTGTCTCATCAAAACTACAAATGGCATTGAGAAAATGAACAGAAGAAACCCAGATTTTTGCTCAGTCTTCAGATCAGAACTTATAGCCATCTATGAAGCCTTAAAATCCATCAGAAATACTAATTATCAAGATATCTGGATTCTTACTGATAGTAGAAGTGCCATACAACACTTGAGTCACACAGGGGAACTCAGAGACAAAGTAAGCAGGAACATAATTGGTTATCTCCAAAAACTCTCAAAAACCTCAAAAATTCACCTTCAATGGATACCCTCACATGTTGGAATTGAAGGCAATTAAGCTGCTGATGTTCTAGCGAAAAAAGGTACAAAAGAACCCTTGCCACAGAAAAATAAACTTACTTTTAAAGAAATAGAAACAGTAGCCAAAACAAAAATAAACAAGAACTGGAGGATCCCACCTAAGCACAGTTGGTACAGTGGAGTGAACCCAGGAGGAGCTCTAAACATCAGAAATAGACAGCATCAAACAACACTAACAAGATTTAGAACAGGCCATCTCAAGCCATTGAAGATAGAAAATAATAACAAAATCTACCCCACTTGCCCAAAATGTAGCTTGTCACCTGCAGCTCCAGAACACATTTTGGCTTGCATTAGATGCACTAAACAGGACCTTTGGGAGAGGCCGCTGCTCATCATAAAACAGCTCGAGGAGCATGAACTCATGGAATTCGTGTAATCTTTACACAAGGGGATAAGAAACAACAACAACAACAGAGCAGCGACATCTGCCACATCTAGGATCATCCATTTGTCAACAACAGCCCCATAGAAGAGGAGAAACACCTTTGACCTGAGTTCAACTGACCCGGTTGATAGACCTCAGTAAGGGTCCCTCTACAAGGATACAGAGAAGCTATGTCTCTGTACTCATGTTAGAGTCAGAAGCATCTGTTTCCATGTTAGGAACGGCCTCAAATTACAGGCAAAGTCAGACTTTCACTAAAGTTAATCATGGTGCCATGATCAACGAAAGCTGCATCCCTACAACCCATTCAATGAATGAATTCATGGAATTCGTATAATCTTTACACAAGGGGATAAGAAACAACAACAGCCCCATAGAAAACCTATAGGGTTTTCTACAATACATGTCACAACCAACCACAGTATTATTGTATAAGAAATGATTTGATAAACTTTAATTAATTACTTTAATTCAAAACCCCAAGAGATGAGAATTTTCAGTTTAATTATCATCTTCTTCTTTCTTATCTCCACTCAACAATCATATTAAGGTATCAAGCTTGTAGATCTTGTTGATGGTGTCTGCTTGGGGATGAGTAGAGCTCATCAATGGATGAATCAATACAGCAGTTGAATTATAAGTTGGTTAAATTAAAGTTGGATGAATTATAGAAATTATAATAAATGTATATGTGCACCTAAAATGTGATATTAATGTCATATACATGAGGATATACTTATGAACAAAACTGTCTTCTTTATAACATTTTCTCCATGGGACATAGCAATTGGTCTGTTATGAGTTATGTTCTTTATAAATTACGCCTCATTATTATACACTCATGATCAAAACTTAAGGAAATGGAAGTTGCCCGTCATCTATTTTTTTTAAGGAGACAGAGGCAATTTTGATTACACTTGGTTATCTCGTGTGTCTTCAATAAAGGTCACTGTAATATCTTTCAGAGTTATTGTCTGAATCCCGATATACATGCTAAAAAATACAACTTCCATAAGTTTTGTCCATGTGTGTACTTGAAAAGAAATATATTTACCTTGAATAACAAACTCCATGGAGATGTAAGAGCTGAATTCAACATGGTGATCCCCACTTTGCCATCCAGTGTTGCCAATCATTATCTGGGAAACACAGTTTCAACCAAAAATATTTATATAAATAAAAATCAACTTTAATTATGAAATTTGTATAGGAAAAACAACAACAACAACAAAAAAAAGAGACAAATCTTAAAAAGTATCTTAGAAAAGAGTTTACTAGTCCTAAAACATTGCTTTTCTTTTATTGACATTCACCAAAATATAAAAATATTTTAAATTAAGAGTGCTATAAAATTACTCACTAGTTTTTTTCAAATGAGATTTCATCATTTTTAGGAGTATAAATAAGTTCGTGCATTTTGAAGCTTTATTGTAGAATATTGGTTAGACATTCAATGTTCAACGTATTGTCCTTCGCTAGACACTACTTTTTCCCATCTTTCTGGCAATTGATGAATCCCATTGCGAAAAAAGACCGGCTCTTTGGTCGCTATCTATTCATCGATTCTTTCTTTGACTTCATCGTAATTGGAGAAGTGCTTGTGAGCCAGGCCATGTTGCATTGATCATAAGAGATAATAATCGGAAGGAACAATATCTGGGTTATATGGTGGATACCTAACTGGCCTTGTCCTTATTGTTTTAGGAAGAGCATTGCTCGATGCAAATATTTATATGTAATTTTACTGTCCTAAAAGCTAATGTCCTTTGTTTATTTGGATTACAAGAGAAGGAATTGCCAGACATCATCTTGAAGAAGGAATCAAAGTTTACGTCGATGAGTTTCTTTTATTTGTGCTGTATAATCAGCAAGCTTTCGGACTATGACGTCCTTCAACAGGCAACTTTCCAAGAAACTAGAGGATACTGTATATATATACACATAAATATTTACATAATTAGAAATTTTCTTAATGAAATGAATGATTATTATACAAGTTTAGCATATATATAAGTAGATACTTTCATTTACAGAAAAAGCCTTCTCAAGAACAAGATCCTCGAGCTCACTAAAAAACCTGGGCTCAGCTGGCCTGGCTGATAGTACCCTGTAAGGGCTCCTAATCCAGGGATACAGGATGAGCAGCGTTTGTACTCCATGTTAGGAGCGGCTGCACAAGGCGTCTGTTCCTCATGTCAGAGGCGGCCATTTCTTTTGGAGCTAAATCGGCCTGCCACTGAGTAGTGCTCCCAGTCTTAATGATAAAGGCAGACACATTCTACTTCACCCAGTCATGATGGTTGTCAAACAGACACCATCAAGGGTCACAACTTGATACCCTAATATGATCGAGTGGAGATAAGAAAGAAGAAGAAGATCCTCAAGGACCCACACAAAGACACTAATATAAAATATAATTGTATATAAACCCTTTTATATAACCACATCCTACATTGTAAATATGATTGTCTAGGTTGCTCTTTTTGAGGCAGTATCTTTTAAAGTTATTTTAGAACTTGGCTTACATTTCCTATATATATATGGCACATTATTGGTTTTATATTAATTTATTGATATTTTGTACCATTCCAACCTCATGGTACTATGAGTTGGTACCTTGGTGAATTTAGGTTACCCTCCCAAGTACTGATAGAGCTTGACATAACTTCACTTCTGTGATTGGATGAGACTTGGTGTTTTCAATGGGGTACCTTGGTGAAGGTCAGGACTCCGCCAGCATTATCCCAGCTGGTGTTGACAGAGGTGACTCCAGGTGGGGGCTGTGGGTCAACAAGGAGGACCCCTTCAAATCCCTGTCACAGAACTCGGAATTGCCAACTTTACCTGTGGAATATGGCTGGAGGTGAACATGTAGCTGAGGTAACACACACATGCATTCACATATATACATATGGTATGAGATCCTATGAGATCCTGGTATGAGAAACAGTAGTCAAAACAAAAATAAACAAGAACTGGAGGATCCCACCTAAGCACAGTTGGTACAGTGGAGTGAACCAAGTAGGAGCTCTGAACATCAGAAATAGACAGCATCAAACAACACTAACAAGATTTAGAACAGGCCATCTCAAGCCATTGAAGATAGAAAATAATAACAAAATCTACCCCACTTGCCCAAAATGTAGTTTGGTACCTGCAGCTCCAGAACACATTTTGGCTTGCATTAGATGCACTAAACAGGACCTTTGGGAGAGGCCGCTGCTCATCATAAAACAACTCTAGGAGCATGAACTCATGGAATTCGTGTAATCTTTACACAAGGGGATAAGAAACAACAACATGAGATCCTGTCGACTCTCTCTATACTGTGATATCCTGAGGGTCTCTCGCTGTGGTGTGAAATCCGAGAGGGTCGCTAGCTCCACTGTGGTAACCGAGAGGAACAGTCAGGATGTGGAGAGTTTTCTAGTACTTCTCTGCACCTTGGAAGACCTCTAACAGTTCTCACAGAGTACAGGCAGTCGTGGTCGAGGCAGAGTGGAAAGCTTGAGAATGTCCACACAAAAAACGAAGGAACACAGTTGTAGTAGGAAAGTTCCGTGAATAGATAAAAGTCAAGCTAAGGAGCAAGATGGAGATTTAAGAAAAGTTCTTTCTGGTCTACATGGTCGATGAGGTGGACCTTGGACACAACCGACGAGGGCTTCCGCTGATGGTGAAGTGACTGTTTATTTCTGGCCCTGTTGGAGGCTTGTATATCTTTGCAGAGAGTAAGTATTGGGTTTCAGCGGATGCTATATGGGCGTAGATCGAAATAGATCATTGTACACTGGCAACACCCTGACATCTTGTAAGCCTTGATTTTAGATGTTTTTGAACTTCTATCTCAATCTCTTGCTTTAGCTCAACTCTTAATCTATTACATAGTTTTATTTATTCATCCTCAGTTTGTACAAAGTACATTACATATGATGACGTAATGACACATGTCAATCATGCGTATAATTATTTACATTAAAATCTTGTTATATTATATACAATATGAGGTTGTTGGTTTAAATTACCTTATATATACATGCGTACACACACGCATGCACATAAACACATGTATGTGTGCATACCTACATATATACATATCCATGCATACTTACACACAGATATGCGTGAATTCACACAGACAATTTAAAAAAAAAAAAAGAAAAGAATAAAACTTCAAATTTACCCTCATGGTCAAATGATAAAGCACATTTTGTATTATAGATACAAGAAAATAAGACCAAATAATTTAATAGTGTGTGACATTTCGGTAACAGCACTGTTACCATCATCAGACAAAGGAATGAAAAATATATATACAGTTAAACCTGTCTATAGCGCCCCCTCTTGGGACTCACCAAAATAGGATGCTATAGAGTAGGGGTGCTATAGACAGGTCACTTTTAATGTAAATCGCATCGTACTTCATATTTAAAATTGGGCGCTATAGAGAGGGAGGCGCTATTTAGAGGGGGCTCTATAGACAGGTTTAACTGTATATTCTTTAGATAAGGCACAATTGTATATTCTTTTGTCTGATGATGGTAACAATGCTGTTACCGAAATGTAACACACTATTAAATTATTTGAATTAGGTCTTATTTTCTTGTACTCATGGTCAAACTTAAGAAAGTGGGAAGTCTTTGATGTTACCAGTGATCTATTTTAATTTTGAAAGAGACCTAATCAATTTTGTTCACTTGGTTATTGGGAAGAATTGAAGGAAGATAGGAAGACTTGCAATGAGCTGGCTAGAAAGGGTCAAGAAGCTATTGGAAGGTCACTAGATGAGAGTAATGGTCACTAACATATCAAATTGGACAATATTTGTCCATCTATATGTCCATTATATTGCAGCATCAACCACATACTTTTAGATTATTGATAAGGCATACAATTTGGATTATAGATTATAAACACAAGGTAATAAGACCAAATCCAAATAAATAAATAGTGTGTGATATTTTGGTAACAGCATTGTTACCATCTTCAGACAAAATTCTGTACTGGATTCAGTACTTTTGTCTGAAGATGGTAACAATGTTGTTACTGAAACGTCACACACTATTTATTTATTTGGATTTGGTCTTATTACCTTGTGTTTACTTTTAGATTATAATCCTTTGCTAGCAATTTTGGATAATAAAGTGTAGGGATGAGTATCTTTTATTATGATGCATTAGCGAGCCATCTGTTATGAATATTCGAAACTATTATAGACGTGTATGATTCTTTTTTTAAAAATACACTATTTATACTGTAGAACGAAAATTGCAATTATACCGCAAATGTTTCTTCTGAACGAAATATCAAAATTATTTTAAGGAGAAATAGCGATTATTTCCAACCTTAGGAATGAAGTATGATAGGATGAATTGTGAAGAGTAATGATAAACGGAAAAAAAAAAGAAAGAAACATTTGCGGTATAATTGCAATTTTCGTTCTACAATCATAAGCTGCATTATATTGTATTATAAATTTCTACTGCCCTTACTGCAATGGGAAGAATTAATGGGAGGGCCTGGCTCATCAGTGGGTTCACCACTGATGAGCCAGGCCCTCCCTTTAATTTTTTTCATTGAAGTAAGGACAGTAGAAATTTTTTAATTTTCAAAAAAGAATCATACGCGTCTATAATAGTTTCGAATATTCATGAGTATCTTTTAATTAAACGTTTTTTTAAGCTTTCGGGATAACGCTCTTCTACAGGAAAATTGATACAAAATGAAACTTTGCTATAAAGCTCAAAAAACATTTAATTAAAAGATACTCATCCTTAGACGTTTATTATCTAAAAAAAAATCAACACATACCTTGGGTAGGATGAGATTTCCTCCTATAGGACGATAGAGGTATCCTTCGTGGTGTGTTCCAGAGTTGACTAGGCCGCCCAGCTGAGTCTTGGCCAGTACCTCCTACAACATCAGACTCTCAGTAAGAGGGTAGCACTGTCTGAATTTCTGTTTCAATGTGAGCTTGAATCCAATAGGAACCTGTTCCAGCAGCCATCAAATGACAGGCAATATTTAATATAGCTCTTATAAACACAAGGTAATAAGACCAAATCCAAGTTGAGAAAACACAGCATTAAAAGGGTAAGTTCTTTTTCTCACATCTATTTTTTTTTTAAATTCTGTAAAATGCATCAAGTAATTCCTAATGCATTTCTCATTACTAATAGATGGAATTTCCCAAAATCTGATTCAAAATTGAAAAGATTATCACTTAATCTTATAAATGGAGAGATTAGATTTCATTGGAAAAATATTCATTTCAATGGATTTGGTCTTATTACCTTGTGTTTATAATCTATAATCCAAATTGTGCCTTATCAATTATATAGCTCTATAATTTGTTTTAATCATCTTTAATGAACACTATGATTTTTCAATTAAAAAATATATATATTATCCCTAATACAGGTGGTACATGTTGTTAGAAGAGGAGTAGACCTCTTTAAAAATCCTGGGTTCAACTCACCGGGTTGATAGACCTCAGCAAGGGTCCCACTCCAGGGATATGGAGGAGCTGTGTCTGTACTCATGTTAGAGTCAGCAGCAATTCCATGTTAGGAACGGCCTCAAATGACAGGCAAAAGTCAGACTTTCACCAAAGTGTGTCTGGATCATGGTGCCATGATCAACGAAAGCTGCACCCCTACACCCCTGGGGGCCATTGGAGCATTTTTTTTTTAAATCAGAAAAAAAGTGCCCAATGCGGGAATTGAACCCGGGTCGTAGTGGTCAAAAACGAAACGGTTTAACCAGCCTTCCACCGACCCCTCGGGTATATTATATATGCATTCTTTTGTCTGATGATGTAACAACGCTGTTAATGAAATGTCACACACTATTAATTTATTTGGATTAGGTCTTATTTTCTTGTAGGTAGTAGAAAACGGGCAAAGTCAGACTTTCACCAAAGTGTGCCTGGATCATGGTGCCATGTCAATGAAAGCTGCACCCCTACACCCCATTCCATGAGAACAGCTCGAGGAGCATGAACTCATGGAATTCGTTGTAAGCTTTACACAAGGGGATAGGAAACAACATCAGACAAGAAAGATAGAAAATAACAACAAAATCTACCCCACTTGCCCAAAATGTAGCTTGGCACCTGCAGTTCCAGAACACATTTTGGCTTGTATTAGATGTACTAAACAGGACCTTTGGGAGAGGCCACTGCTTATCATAAAACAGCTTGAAGGCATGAACTCATGGAATTTCTGTAATCTTTACACGAGGGGATAAGAAACAACAACAACAAGCCTTCCAGTGGTTTTACCAGCTTAATTTGCATACCTTGTTGAAGTCTTTGAGTAAGGAGACAGTGAAGGTGAGGTTGGAGGTGGTCAGGAGAGACTCCACCAATCCCAGCTTGTGGATGGCAATGGGATGGTGAACCTGCGCCGCAGATAATTTACTTGAACCCTTGTTGCCACACAGACTGCAAGTAAGTAGTTCTTCAAATTAAAGATACTTCGGAATGGTTGCAAGGTTTTCCCACTATGTACTAAGTGCAATTCTCAACCTGCAACCCCAAAACACATCATTGACTGTATTGACTCATCCATTGATGAGCTCTACTCATCCTCGGCAGACACCATCAACAAGCTCTACAAACTTGATACCCTGATATGATTGAGTGGAGATAAGAAAGAAGAAAAGAAGAGGATACTTCGGCCAGTAAATCTTTTTATCACCTCAACGTTTCGACAAAAAT